TATATCTTCTTCTTTTTTTTGGATAAGCCACATAGTACGTCTAGTTGCAATTCTTTGAAAAATATCACAAATTGAAATATACAATAAATAATTAAATTTAATATTTATACGATTGCAAAGGAATTGCTCGGTTAGCATTTTATTTTGGTAGATTTCTGCTTCTTCTTCTTGATCGTTATTATCTTTTTGTTCTTTTTTTGGTAAATACACATAGATGTTTAAAAATAATTTTAGGTACACGCACTGGTTCTATATATGTTTGTACTATATATACTCGGGGCATATATAGTATTTAGGTAAAGTTCAATATGCTTTCGGTGTATTTACAACACTGCAGAACAAATCGTTTCGCTCAGTGTATTTATATTAAAAGTTGTGTAAATAGTTTGATTCGATTTTGAACTGAGTTAGAGAGAGAAAGCGAGATTAAACTGCCTGAATTGAATTTAAATACTCGTTCACATTATCAATAAAAGGGGTATATTAGCTTGACTCTATTTCATTGCGTTTGCTTAAGAGTTAAAAATGGGGTGTATTGGCTTTGATATGCTGATATAGGAAAGTTAGTGCATTATATTAGAATTGTTATGCTTGCTTATAGCGTTAAAATGGGGTGTATTAGTTATGTTATGCTTGTTCAGAAAGTGCAAAAGAGGTATATTGGTTTTCATATGCTCGTTTAGTAACTTGGGTACTTTTCTATGCTTCGTTATGAAGTTAAAGAGAGCATATTAGTTTTATAATGCTGATTCGGTATATAAGAAGAGTTTTTCATTTGCAAGTTAAGCCTGATTAACACATAAAGCTTCATATATATATATATATATAGCCGAGACGGGGTTATGCCTAATGGGGTAGTATACCTAATCGGATAAGTTAATCTGCCACAGGTTAAGAACAACTTGATTAAGCAATATTTGGAATGAATATTGCTAACGAGCTCATCCTCTCGATACTAATAAGCTGTGAACGAGTATGGCACAGTCGAGGCGAGCCGACTGTTGAAGCTCTTACTAGTTATTTTGTTTGTTTGGTTGTTTAAGTACTTAAGTTAAGCATAAAAACGTTTGGTGCATTTAGTTAAAGTTGCGTCTTGGATTCTTGTGCCATCAATGGAATACTTGCTAGTGGACTAAACGGCTAATCGCCCTGGCTTAGACTAAGGCTCTTGGCCTGGCTAAATTTGTGCTTCAGTTGGCTGGTGTTGGCGCGGAAGCGCTGCATCAAATGCTGTGTACCAGATGCGCTGTGCTGCAGCGGCCCAATTACCGCATCAGCGCTGGTTATAGACTATGAGCCCTTCAATTTCTTTTTGGGATTATTCCGTGCCAGATCTGTGGCAGCCGATGGCGGCAGCTCCCTATATTGATTCTGCAAGAAGACAGAGGGAGAGGGAGAGAGTGTTGAGACTTTATATAATTTAGATATATGTAAAGTGCTTACAATCTCCTCGTTGTCGGGCACTCGAGACAGAAAGTCGAGCAGCTCGTTGTTTGGTATCGTGTTGGGACGCAAAATGCGTCGGGAGAACTTCATGAGGCCCCAGAAGAGCAGCAGCCAGCGCAGCGGCACGAAATGCAGCACAAGTATCGCGCCCAGCAGCAGCACCACCGCCAGCCAGGTCAACTCGGGGACGGAAAAGTTAAATGTGCTGGCAAAGCAGAAAGATATCAGCAATGGGATATTACTTCATAGACCGGACTCACTTGATGGTGCTCTCGGCTAGGGAGGCTAAATATCCGATCGTATTTTGTACGGTCTGTGAGACCTCCTGTATGGCCTGAAGGCGCTCTTTAATTGACTTCTTCTCCTCCTTCTCCTTGTCGTCGTCGTCATCCTCATCGTAGTCGTAATCATAGTGACCCGCATTGGCATCCGTGGTGCCCGTTATCAAGCGTATGAGCCACTTTCTGTGAAGGCAATACAGTTAGGACTCTAGCCAAGGCATTGGGCATTGTGTGCCACCTACTTCAATATGATGAGCAGCAGCACGAGCGGCACAGTCTCCAGATCGCCGTAGACACAGCCGACGATCCAGAGCACAAAGGCAATGCTGGAACGCACTGGGGACTCCCACTCAAAGCAGCTTCTGCAGAAGGAGAATGATATGGTGAGGGGGGAAACGATCAGCTAAAGATTTTTGAGATTTTGAGTATCAATCTACTCGTATCTACTCACTGAACGTAGCGTGCTGCCTCCAGTATATCCATGATGATCGCCTTGAGACGATTCACGTTGCGCAGGAAGAGCTGCCGTTTGAACTTCGCCTCCTGCTGGATGAGTTTCTCCTCCTTCGGCTGCAGAGCGCGACAAACGGCTCGCACCTCGTTCCAGACCACAGTCAGCTCGAGCTGTATTTGTGGGGAGTTGCCCTTGGCACGCACACACAGATTCTTGTCCTTCAGCGTATACCAGCGCTTGACGCCGCTCTTGATGCGCAGCAGAGGGATCACAAGTTTGCCCAGGAACTCGACGCGATGATCGCGATCCTCGTCGTAAACTGTGATCTCCAGCACTTGAGTGATGTCCTTGATGTTGCTAAAGACAGAAAATAGTCAAAGAATAATCAAGAAAACTTCTCCAGCTGGCGACCTACAAGGTAAAGATCTTGTTCCAGTTGGGCGTTAGCGTCTTGTACTCCGTCTGCGTTTGCAGTCGCGCATTGCCCAGCTCCAGCACGCAAAACGGATCCGACTTGCCGCCTATGTCAGCAGCTGCTAGTCCCGTGGCGCCAAATACTTTGACTGTCAGATGCCCGACATCGCGCAGATTCTGCAGGCTGCGCCAGAAGCTATAGCGATCTCTGATCAGCTGCGTCTCACGCGGATCCTCTTTGAAGGCTTTCAGATCGCTAATCGTCTCCAGAGCCGTCGTTCCACTGATCGTCAGCATGAGGAAGACCTCGCCAGAGCAATCCTCCAGCGGCTTCCATATGCCGTGCGTTGTCTCACGCTGAAAGACGCTCAGATCGATGTTGGCCTTGCCGTAGAGGGTATTCCGATTCCACAGGGCCAGCTCCAGGTTCTGATCCTCGTCGAAGAGATGCAAATCGAATTGCTCCAGCCAGCGTTCCGTCCATGACGTTTTGCTCTTGTACTTCTCGTTGCCCAGCCTGAAGAAGGGTATTCCCAAATGGGTTTATACTTTCCTCTGATTATCTTTATGGACTTACCTAAACTTAAAGTGTATGTCAATGAGCTTGCTGCCGTCTTCGGCTAGCGGCAGATCTTTGGCCTTGACCAGCAGTATTGTCACCACGGAGCTCCAGATTTGTGATTTAAGTCGCTTCGATGACTCAGCCAATTTGGAGTTGCGCTGAAAGTGCTGTAAGTCGACATGGAAAACAAATCTCAATTGAGACACCAAATTACAAACAGAGTAAAGCTTCAAGTTGACCTCCTTTAGCTCCTCGCAGCCCTGCTCTAGGTGCTCGCGGAATTCGCTGTGCTGCTGCCGCAGCAGCTTGAGCAACATGCGCGGCGCAACCCGGTAAATGGGACCAGGCCAATCCATAATCCAAGCACAACTCAAATCACAGTGCCACTTCGCAAGCGAAGCAACGCGCAATGACTAAAGCAACAATTGGCTTTAGGTTTACGCTCTCTCGGCACACGAGTCTGAGATAACCTTGTGGCGGGCATATACACTGAGGCGTACACCCTGCACACACCCTATCAGCTCGCCTGCCCGCCTGAGTCGCTGATAAGCAGCGGCTGTCTTTAATTGCTGTCGAGCGACCTTTGTGCCATGAATCTAATTGCCCCCCTAACTGAGCAGATCTACGAGTGTGCATTGCACGAGTAGTATCTATAATTAATTTCGAGCACAAACTTTAAAAACTTGTATGCCCAATGGGTTACCTAACCTTTGGCTGGGTAATGAAGAAAAAACATACATATAATGGATGCTAAGGGTAATAGATGGTCAAAACATATTTAA